GGTATGCTGTTTTTTGGGGGGTGCGATGGAGGTGGACCGGATTTTGACAGGGGTTGGGAAAAAACATCGATATCAGATTTCGAATAAACGACACAAGGAACCTGTGTTGGCGGTCTTTTTTGTGGGGGAGGGGGGTGAGGTCTGAAAACTAGAGCACAGGAAAAAGTTCTGAGATTTTTACGTTAGGCCTTAGCACTGCACCTTATCGGTGTTGTATGCCATGGGTTACCACTCCATCCAGCACCGCAATGTAGATATTTTACACCCGACAAAATAATTTAGATTATTTAGGGGGTTGGCTTTGACTTTGCTTATTCCATGAAAAACCTCTGTATACGGGAATGGAACTCACTTGTCCTACGTGTGACGACAAAGCGCCTAACCGTGACACCGTAGACACCGGTCGATATATTAGGTAAGGTGGCACGGAAAGCTTCATCACAGTCACATAAATCTTTGAGTTGAGGATTTCCTCCGACCCTTGTTGCTATTACATGTATCTAAAATTATTGAGCCTCTTACAGCTTCAGAAGTTTGAATGTGAGATTTCCGATCTCTGCTTGGTGCGAGTCAGGCAGGTCACAGTGGTGTAAGTTCCGAAGACAACCAAAGTTCAAGAGCCCCCCACCCCCACCCCTACCCCACCCCCCAAAATAAATCATTGGGAATTCGAACTGCAACCGTCATTACCTTAGCCTATAGCACAATACCAACTCAGCTGACAACGCTTCAGTCATTTCTCCCTAGAAAAACTGTGTTAGGAAGAAAAGATGGATCGACAGGGGAATAAAAACAAACAAAAAGAAACACATAGTGAGAGTGTAAGACAGAAAGATAGGAAGAGAACGAAAGCAATAGATCTAAGAGAAGAGGGGGTGGAGGGGGGTAGTGTTAGAAACTTAAGGGAGGGGGGGTGGAGAGAGTGTAGCACAAGGAGTAGACCTACGCCCAGAGTTTTAAGAATAATGTGTGCGCCTGAAAAAGTGATAGCCAGAAACGTAAAGGGGAACAAAAAGAGAAAGGGGGAAAGAGAGAGAAGAATAGCATAAAAGAGGGCATATTATAAACACGGTACAGCGGTATAGGGACAATGATAAGAAAACATGAAAACAAAAGTTGAGAGGAACAGAAAGGTGTGTTGTTTGGTAAAAGAGCTGGGCGCATTGCAAACGGAAATGAGCGAGAACTGGAGGAGGTGGGAAGTACGAGAGAGAGAGAGAGAGAGAGAGAGAGAGAGAGAGAGAGA